TTGTTTAAACTCAAATGCGTTCTTTTTACTTACCCCTAACAACAGCACATTAGCACAGCTAATGAGTCTGGTTGCTTTGGTTAACCTCAAACACAGTTTCACATCAATCATATCATTGCACCCCAAATGTTGGAATGCAGCTTTTGTCAGAGCAGTGCGACTGGAAGCAATTAAAGCTGTTTGTCCTATACCCCTGTCTCCCCCCTCTGATTTTTTCACTTCACTGAGTCAACATGATGACAGTAAAAGGTGAGACATCTCATACTTTCTTGYATATTTGCAGACAACACTTGTAGACAAAACAGATGGAACTAATTCATTATTTTTTTCTTTTGGTTTTCATTTAAATAAAAATCTTTTTATCAATTAAAATCGTGTTTTTTATGTTATGTTACGTTACGGTATGTTATGTGCAATCAAGTTTGAATAAGTCAAACTTCTGTGACTGCAATGGCAAAACTAACTAACAACTAACTAACTAACTAACTAACTAACTAACTAACTAACTAACTAACTAACTAACTAAATAAATAAATACATATATAAATAAATAAATAAATGCAGACAGACAGGAGGAGGAAAAAAACTCTAATTTTTACTTATTCTAACCAGGATAAAACAAGAAAAGTATACTTTGCTGTTGCACGATGACAAAGTAACACATTTAAGTTTTCTTCAAACTGAAAATAGCGTTGCTGTTTTTGTCTCCTGGTATCTGATGGCGAGCCAACAGGAGAGTGCAGGTGTCTGATGACTCTCCTTGAATGAAAATGAAATTAATGGAAAGCAGGTGGGTACTTCAAAGGCTGACTGCTCCAGCGGTATTACCAAATGTGCGTGCAATCGCCAACCTCAGCTGTTGTGTCCCTGTCACGGTGAAGAGGAAGTTAGGCTTGTGAATGGAAATAATTACCTAATATTAGAAACGCCGTGCGAGAAGATGAAAGGGAAAGGATCTGATGTGCTCCTTGAGAGTCAACAATCATTAAAGGGTCAAACCACAGATTCAGTGCGGAGCTGAGCAGTGTTGCCATGTCTTTATGAGCTTTTTATTTCAAAGCTATTGGGCTGTAAGTCACAGAGTGAGATGTGTGCCATATTGTTCTACTGCTGGCCTGCTTTCAGAGCGCTAATAAAATCCCCTTTATTACAGCAATGTTTAAACAATTTCACTGACCTATTTTAGCGCCTACGTTAAAGATCAAATCGATGCTTCCCAACAACAAAGGCACAGCCCTCTTTACTGTTTTGATTTGATAATAAAAATCCCCAACATGACCCAAAAATTATTTGCAAAATAGCTGGAAATGTTCGCCTGAAAATGCAGCCACAGCAGTCTTTTATGTTTTTCCAGCAGATTAAAGATGGGAAGGAAAGCTGCAGGACAACAAAATGCTGAATGTGTCAAATTCGTCAGCAACTTCAGGAAGTGGTTTATTATCCAGACTGACATTACATCTTAAAAGTTTCACTATGTAACACATGTGTTGTATTATTTGATTCCAAATCAAACAATAAACACAATTACATGCTAGTCATGCAATTTAGGCTGACAACCTCTTTGAGTTTTTCAATTTTTGCCTTTTTTATCTTTTGAATTTACACATTTTATTTTGAAGTACTGCACACAGTCTGTTTTRAATTAGAGGAATTTTAAGTAAGTATAACGCACATGTAAATCTAGTAACATCTGACAGCTGCAGTGTTAGATTTTTTTTCTTCCTTTATATTTATGAAATATTCTTATTTGATCTTGCATTGCCATCTGTCAGAAAATAAGAATGTAATCAGCACTGTGTTAAAGTTATTTATGAGTAGAACAGACAATGTTTTTGATAGAATATATAAAAGCAAAGCTGTAAATCCTGCCAGCTTGATTCCAAGTCTATTTTTGTTCATCTTTTTTGGATATAAATCCTGCATACATTAGTCTATGCTATATATCAACTTTTCTCTAAAAAAAAACAGCACATTGCATTTTCCTATGAATCATTGTGTTTGTTTTGAACCATGCGCTAGAAGAACATTACTCTTTTTCACTGTGTATTATGATTATAGTTGAAAAGGCATAAATCTGACTCATTTGCTTTAAGAAGAATACAGTAAAAAACATCTTTAGTAGTATAATTTATATAATAACTGGTGACATTTTAATTGTATTTGATATAAATATAATGTTTTTTTAAGTATGAAAACATGAATGTTATTTAAAATAGAAACTAAACAATAACACCCGGTCCAAACTGGAAAGGCAAAATAAATCAATGACTTCCCACAAGTTTGAACTATTTCTTCCAATTAACCAATTAGAAATTACTGTAAAATACTGCCATAATTAATGACAGAGTTCTTGTTTTCAAACTATAAATCAGGAACACTATCTGAAAATTTCAGTAATTTTTCTATTATTTAAATTGAAGAAATTCCCTAAAGTGTCACATTCATGAAGATGAGATAACCAAACTGAAACGAGAATGTCCATCAGATCATACAGCGGGTAAAATAAGTACTGAACACGTCACAATTTTTCTCAGTAAATATATTACTAGAGGTGCTAATGACATGAAATTTTCACCAGATGT